GCACAAGCACCGAGTGGCGTCTGTCAACTGTCAAACATTAAATTGTCATTGCTATAATTTACCGAAAACATCCGATCCCGATCAAACACGTGATTAAAATACTGGAAATATCAAAAGTGTTTCGAGATTATCACTAATGAAGGCTGACGCCTTAAAGTGATAGGTTTGGCACGTACTCTAGAGTAGTGCTTCACAGTATATTATGCTAATTCTAAAAATTTAATCTTAAAGATCCCATTTCCTTGTGACCGATTATGTTTGAAAACGGCAAATTTATGTATAGAATCCTCATTGAGATGAGAGCAGCATAACAAGTGTTTATTCAATGTTTACAGTCATATATAAACTTGCTTCACTCTCCGGACCGGACGGAAATTACAAATTTTAAAATATCATGGCTAAAATTTACCGAAAATATTCAATTGCTCTCAAACCCGTAACTTAAAGGAAGCTTCCGCAACTTTAATCCACGCATAAAAAGTAAGTACTAGTAAAGTAGAGTAGGTGTTACCCTCGTAGCTGTTGTTTGAAAAATTCCCGAGACTAGGGGAGCTATTTGCGAAATGCGAATGAAATTTTAAACTGAAATACTGCCAGCGCAGTATGGCAGTCGCAAATTCGTTTTAACATTACGAGTTTTAATCTTTTAAAATTGTTTTCGGTTTAATTTATTAGAGTGTATGATTCACTAATTGAGGACGTATACATAATCGTTTTAATTATATTGATGCCTTCGAAGTGCTTGCTGATGGACAAGTTATAGAAATTTTTAGGTTATCCAAAGAGTTGTGTAGAATTGGCAAAAGTTTTGGTAATTTACGCATTACGCACTCCGAAATAAGTGATTGATCGAGCAAGGTGGAGACTTGGAATGTTAATTAAATCGTTATAACAAACTACGAACTCGTTCGTAATAAAAAACTATACGCGATTGTCTGATTGCGATTAGAACGCGAAACGATCGTGCCATCGGCAAATCACGAATCGCATCGGGAATTACGTAAGGTGGGTCGTGAAACGCCCTTTGGGGGCAAACGTGTTAAATGAAATTCGGGCAACGAAGCAGGGAGAATATATAAAAAATTCAGAAATCCCAGGCGCGTGAAAGTATCCGACTTTAAATGCCAGTTCACTCTACGAAAACAAACGTTTATCCGAAAGGTCGGCACGTATCTACAAAGGTATGAGATACTTGCGATTGTACCGATTTTGGCTTAATTGGCATTACCACGGTAATTGATCTTAAATAAAATCGCTCAACAGAAAATGTCAGTCTCGTTCGCACCTGATATGGATTAGCGTAAAGCTCAAGTAAATAATGCAAAAAGAATCCAGGTTATTTACTTTGTACAGAAAAGCAGCATCAAAACAGTTTCTTCGAGCTTCAAGTGACTTCAAATTTATTTTAAGTTTTCTTCGTACGATCGTGTCGATCTCTGTTGCATCTAAAGTTTAAGTTGTTAAAAAGTTTTTTTGTGTGCTTTCTATTCTGATAATATATTTACTATAAATAGGATTCCAAACTGAGGATATATGATATATGAGGTTATATACGATTATAACTGTAGTTCTCAAAATGAAGCCTAGATTTGTCAAACATTTTTTGACAATAGTTTCGATATGAGCCTCAAAGTTTAACTGAAAGTCAAGAACAACTCTTTTCAGCTGTTTATTACAAAGCAAGCAAGTCAATTTCTATAAATTTCTTTTTCCATTAGTTTTGGTTAGTTATCGATATTTCTCAAGATTTAAACTCTTCGTTTTCAAAATTCTTCATCTTTTTTATTAATATATTCTTAAACGTAACAGTTTTTCCAATATTTTAGTTTTTCTAAAAAAATACTAGTTTTCACAATTCCAAAAAAAAAAGATTATTATTTTTAAAGGTATCATTTTTGATATTAGCGCTACTCGAACATGACTTAATGTCCAAAATAAGCCAAATATAGTTGGATCATTTTAAATTGAAATATTTCTATTTTCTACTATAGCACACTATATATATTATTAATGTTTTATTTTTTTCAACTTATAACTTTTGTTAAATATGTTATATGCTTATTTTTAATCATGTCCGATTTATTTTAACTTTTTTTTTTAACTTTTCATTGTCAAATTTTTACCTTGTACATTCCAACGAATAAATTCATAAAGTTTATTGTGGGGTCGGTAAATTAAAAAAAAAACTAACTATAGATTTTCCTGAAGCTGTTGGCAGTAAGACTTTACAAGGCGAAGTACCCTAATAGCCGTATAGACAATCTCTTCAGTGTTTAATATACGTTTATTTTGGTTATAAATTATAAATAAAAAATAAACCTGTATTTTATGAAAGTAATTTTCAAAAAGTAAACAAGATGGGCATTACATATCCTAAACTTTTTGAAAATCTGGTATATCAGATCGATAAACTAATCCGTAGAGTTACTGCTTTCCGTATGTCAGGAACACTCGATATAGTTCCAAAATGGATTTGCGAGGACGTTTTTAAAGCCTTCAACGCGAATAATAAGAACCTCGGTTCCTAGCGAAGACCATTAGACCTTTGATGGCTCTTCCAAACTTAATGAGCGTTCCTTGAACGTTATTTGCCTTTTCCCAGAACCGTCGCAGACGACCGATCTATCTCCCATTCGTGACCGCTCTATCTCGCCCATTATTCGGCCGTTTTCTTTGCGCTCTCACTCTTTCGCATGTGATCCCATGCAAACATCAGCATTAATAACCTGCCGAGTATGTACCGAATAAATTATGTTACTAATTACATGCAGTGCTCCATGTTGGTAAATACGTTAAGCTATCTCGTCCTCATAGTGAAACCGAAAGCTATCGCGAATACCTACGGAATACCAAATCCGAATCTGTTTTCTTATGTATGTTTGCCGCTGTTTATGAGACGCGATATGTTTGGTTTGTTGAGAATGGGTTAGGGGGATTTTTTTTTCAAATATGTTCCTATAATTTTTCAAAAGCGAAATGCTTATGCGTACGTGTTGTATTTATTTCTCTGTCAACATACGTTAGTAGTTTCGAGGTTGATCAATTGACCATCAATTGACCACTTCTTAATCGAATAGTCAAATTCGATCAAAATTGTTTTAATTGATATCTTGCAATTGTAGAGTGTTATCAATCATTATTTAATAATTATCTGTATTTTGTAATAATTTACTATGCGTTTGTGATGTTCAATTTACCTAAAACCCTCTTCAAGGAATACCCGAATACCGTACTCCACATCCCAATAAAAACATGCACATTATAAATAAGTAAAAATAAATTAATATAAATTTCAAAAATCTTTAAAATTATTTCGGTCAGTTAACACAAAAAAAATGTACCGCTCAGTTCCACAACACTTCACCTTAGTATGAAATGGGAAAAATGTGTAATAAAAGAATGTTGTATGTTATTGCTCATTTTTAGATTATCAGCAATATACAGGGTGTTGCATGTTGAAAATTTGAAAATATTTTTAAATTGTTTCTTTTAGTATTTCCTTTGTATCTGACACGTTTTCCTAAGACAAATATAAAATGAGATATATTATTTCAACGCACTATTTGAACCCACTGTGTATACAGGGTGTCCCAGTAAGGGCAATTAGGTACGGTATTGGGGAAACGGATATTCCTAAAAATAAATCGCCCAAGAGAAAACCACCAGACGACATTTTGCGGATTGCCATCTTGAATTTTAAAACCCGTTTTCTGCAGAATTTTCTTATATTAGAGTGAACACTGTTTTAAAACTAAGACAAATTTAAATCTTCTTTGTTAGATGCTTTTTACTTTTACTTTTACTTTATCTCTAAAAGGAATGTGGTGACGGGTTGCTTCAGCATTTCCGGACATAAAGGATAAAAAGAGCTGTTCCCAAGGTATTGTAAGTATTAGTGAAGTATCAAACGTACAGCGAATGAGATGATTGGGACTGAATACCCTCAGGCGTTTTTTGACATATGACCTTGACAAAATGATGTAAAATTGGCAAATAACAAATGTGTAAATAAATTCATAATATTTATTGTTAGTAAATTGCCGAAAAATAAGTTTACTTTACAAGTCGAAGTACCCTAATAGACGTATAAAAAACTGTTTGATGCTAGTGCTGGTATTGAATGTGAAAAACGGAAAGTGAAAAACCACTTCAATGAAGAAAAAGAATTGGAAATTTTGTGCCTGTCTGTTTTCCGATATAACTACTTTTCGCACCATGTTAATGGTCATAACATGCATTATTATTTAACCAATTTTCATTTAAGGTGTGGTGTGGAATAGACTTTAAAGTTATTGCAATGCAAACGACTTAACGGGCCTAGATATTTAAGCTTTTTGCAGAATAATGTACCTGAACTTCTTAAAGAAGCTGATAACAATGAGATAAAACAAAGGTGATTTCTGCATTACTATAGGGAAGTTCGAGAATAACACCGTTTATACTAAATAGCGTCTAAGAAAATATGCGAATCCATTAATTGCCCCATAATAATAACTAAAAATGAGATACATTAATTTGTAGTAATAGGTATTTAATATTATTTATTTTTTCTGTGAATTTAAAATTTGGCCCTAATTTTCACTAAAAGTGTCTGTTGCTTTATCTACGCCTACAACAAAGTTCTCTCTCCTGCAGTTAATGTAGTGCTTCGGGTAGACTACTTTTGCACTCTGGTTTGGCAAGGGAAACCGCTATAAAAGCTTTTCTCTTACAGGTGGATAAATAAGCATTGCTTAATAATAAATTTGCGTAAACTTACGGCTTATATAAAAAATTCGTGACCATCACAGTGTCGAGATCAGGATCTTAATCTATATGCAACGGGTTCTTCATTTTTGTTGTTCTCAATGTTTGGTCTGATGTTTTTGGACACAGTAATTTCGTTTAGGTACAGATCAATTCGGTCTTAACGGGTGTCGGCAAATGGAACTCTATTTCAACAGTTTCGAAGTACTACTGAGATTTCATATGCGATCCCTTACACTAGTTTGTGTTTTCAGATCTGATGCAGACGATGTAAATTCACTGCAATCTCCTAATTCCAAGGGTAAGTTGGATTTTTATTTTTTTTCATGCATAAGGGTCACAGTCTTTCAGTGTGACCGAAATTCGTTGTCAGGGCTGGATATCTCGGTTGTCAGTAAAACTAGATGCCAGCTGTTTGCGGCTCATGGTTGAGTTTCTGAGCTACAGCGCTCCATATCTCGGTTCATATTTACACATTTACACTATCGAAAAAAAAACGTTTATTATGACATAAAGTTGTGTATTTTTAAATTTAAATTTTAAATTTTATCATTTTATCTTTTTATCATTCATCACTTTATTGCATCCGCTAAATGACTTTCCGAATATATATAACAATTTACTATTTGTTTTTAATTCAGGTCTGTATGCAATATTATAATATTTTAATATGACTTCTTATGGAAGGGAAATGCAAATAAATTGTTATTATGGTCATTGTCATTATAATTATTATTATAATTAAATATTTTATAATTTTCATTAAGTATATTACACCATTAATTTTATATATTTCACATTATGTCAGTATTCGTTAATATTAATTACTATCTAATACTAAATTATTATTTTAACCTAAAAAGTTTATTCTAGTAGTAGTTTTATCAATTTTCCTCTTGCAAAATGAGTTTAAATTTGTATTAAGGATATGTAATAAAACTGCATTTTTAAGATAATCAAGACAAACTGTTTAAACTCACAACAATGGTAATATTTGCCGGTGTTCGTAAAATAATCTCAGGACATGCGGCGGAGCACGTACGACAATTCTGCCGCAAAATGTTAATATATCAAAAAATGACATTTCCACTCTTCAATCGTATTAAAAAAAAATAGTCTAAATTTAAAATTTAAATTTACAGCTAAAAAACTAAAATTTCTTGAACCGTAGATTTTGGATACGGTTTATTATACGTTTTTAACCGACCTTTGCGAAAAAATCCAGCTTGGTTTTAAACGTACCAAGTGTTCTTTTATTGGGTAGCTTTCGTTCTGGATAGATTTGTAAAAGTTACCTAAAAGTGAAACATACTCTATTATTCATTATACCTGTGCAAATGTGCATGTCATATTTTTCAACATTTCAAAATTCTTCGTTGATAGCCATAATTATTAGAACAATTTAATTATCAAACTAAATGCCTTAATGAAATTGCCGAAGCATTGTTTAGTACGTTTTGTAGCATTGATAATTCGAAAAAGGGCTTTTTTTTACTTCGGTCAGAGGAAACTCTTTAAAATAATAAATTAGAACAAAAATTGCAATTTAACAACTAAAATTATCAACAAATGGTTAAGCGTTATATATTTTCGAAAAGACCTTAGCGGACGTAATACATTGCGTGAAATTATACATAATGTCCTATTTAAAAATATAAATATGTGTGTCATAATTCAAAAAATAAAAATAATCTGAAAAAACTAGCCACTCCATTCTACGTAAAAGAATCTCTATATGGTATCTGGTTCGTTTTCTCCCGGGGTGTTTCAAATATTTTTATTAAAGTCCAAGCATTGTAACAACTTGATCGCAACCTAGAACGACGATCAATCTTTTATTTTATTAGTAAAGCCCATAGCCCTACTGTACCACCGGGTAAGTAAAAAGTACAAAATCGTCAAAACTGGACGGATAAGAATCAATATCTTTAGGTTCTTGAACATGCAGAATTAGAAAACGCTTTCAGATTTTCCACTTTTCCGTTCCACGTCATATTTTGTTATTTTAAATGGAATGTCCTACTTATTTTTGTTGCAATAAATTGCACCTGCCCAATTTAGTAAAGTGTTATAATTTCATAATTTATTAAGCTACGGCAACACCGCTTTTTCGGAACTCTTAAACAATATGTCCATCAACTGTCAAAGCTGCGGGGTTTCTGAACATGCAGAATTCAAAAATGCAGCAGTGTTGTCAGACTGCTAAAAAGAACATATCAGAATTTTGGAGGTTTTTAAACATTTTGGCAGTTTTGGAGATATTTAAGAGTTCCAGTAAATTGTACTAACGCTATATAAAAATGCATTTAAATGTAGAAAATTGCTTTTTCCTTCTTCTGCTTTTATATATTGTTGGACCTAATTTAACTAGTACAAAATATACAAAGTGTTCCATTAAAAAATATATAAATTTTGTAATTCTTTTCATAAAAGCGCAATCAAAAACAAAATCGATTGTAATTAAAAACTTTTAAAGTCCTCCTAACGTTAATGTTAGCCCCTTCAATTAAAGATTTTGATAATATTCTTTGTAAGATAATATTTTTCAAACCGAATAACAATAACAACTGTTTTGAATCTTATAATTTGAATCAAATACTTACTGAACTTACACGATTTATTCAAAATTGAATTAAACTTATTGAACCTATCCGTTACTTTAATCATGATTTTTAAGGGGGTCGGATGTTTATTAGATTGTACACAGGCATTAATGATATTTTGAGATTTGTCAGTTATGACTAAGGAGTACAGAAAATGCAAAATACATTGTTTTGCATTTTTCGTCAGTTTTGCTCAGAATATGCATTTTTTCCAATAATAGAGAATTTATTTTTTATTAGATTATTACATTGTATTGGAGCCGACTTAGTTACTTTACTGCTTTCTTATGTATGTATAAATTCATAGAATTACACAGGATAAACATTCTGCGGTATTCCCAGTAAAAGCAAATTGTTCTTTGTTAAATTAATGAAATAAGATAAATTGCAAATGAAAACCAGATTGGTCAAAAGGGGCCGCAATTTTTAATATCTTTGATATCTTGTACTTGACACGTTCTTGTGTGTCTTGTTTTGGAAAGTGTCTGCGTCTGTCTGTCCAGTGTTTGTTAAAATACCAAAAACTAATGTCATTTATAAAGAGGTCATTTATAAAGAGCTTTCGAGAGTTTGCTTGTAATGGCACCGATTTGTTTTGTACAGCTTATTCGAAAATTATAAGCATAAACCATATTCTCATTTTTGTTTTGATTATATAGTAAAAAAGAAAGATATATGTTTTTTGGTATATTAGGAAATCTTGGATTTTGTAAATTAGGTATTCAGGCTTGTTATTGGCAGCCAAAGTTAATAATTTTAAAGTATTTATACAATTTTTCTAGTCAATTGTTTTTATTCGGGATTTACCAAACTTTTCTACAGGAATGTTTTATTTCGTAGAAGTAGGAAAGATGTTTTACAGTTTTTTTAACGAATTAAACCCAAATTAATTATTTCTTTTTTGGATTTTACAGATTCATGCAGATAAAAAAATTATGATTGAGGGCGAAAAGTGCAATGAGGTGGACCCTTCTAGCAAACAATGCAACAGTTTAATGAAGGTTTATGTAAGGCATTCATTTGTGCTAACATACCACTTAAAAAACTGGCCAACCCCAATTTAAGATTATTTTTGAGCTATGCCACACACCAGAGGCTACCTCTGTTTCTTTGACAGATTCAGTTACTTTTTAATAAATCAATTTGAAGTGAATTGCAAAAAAAATTCAGGTACTGTTGGAACTGTACGGTTATAAAAAAAAGTATATCGGTAATTGAAAATAACACACAGTGCTCAAAATTCTTAAAAAATATTTGCGAAGGTTTTATAGGCAATTTTAGAATTGAATTTGTATAAATTAGAAACACACTTCATTCCAAATCTAAAATACTGTCCGTTAACGCCTGAAGATTTAGGCGAATTTTTAAACACATCTTTGCAGATAAAAGATACAATTTTCTTTATTTTACGAATTGTATTGCATCAATGGTATGGTTGAATTATTGATTATGTTATTTTTTTTATAAACCCAAATAATATTTTGTCATTGTAATGTGATTTTTCTGTTTTAGATTTTCTATCAATGTGTGTATTTATGAATGAGAGACTTTTATAACGATTTTTTTTTGTTTCATTTTTATTTGTTTATTGAATGCTTGATTTAAAATAACGTTAATGTTCATAATTTTTGATATATTAATAAAGCATATTAGCATTTTTTGTATATTTCGATGCATATTTTATACATTTGAATGTTGGGGTTTTTTGCTTGATTTTTTTTTCCGCTCCTAAACAACTGCACCTTAATTGTGAGGGTTGTAGAAAAAGTATAGTGTGCGATACGTTCACACACTTCTTCCGTCACTCATACAAACTAACTAAATCATGCTAAAATGGCATTTATCAGATGTGTTACGTAATATACGAATAGTGGTACGAATGTTACACATGTAGCTTAGAGAGATCGCGGTTATGTCATATCGACGATGATTAAATAACAATATTTAGATTTCCGTTTTGTACAAGTCCTAACTAACGCCGTGCGAATATCAACAACAATAATAGCATTAATTAACCGCGTTACGTCACAAGTCATGTATAGTGTGAGTTCCCAGCGAAATTCGCAAGAGCGAAAAATGGGACTACGTACATCCGTTTAATTTTCTACCGGTTCAGAGCCGTTTAAATTAAATATTAAATCTCATTTTCCACTTTTCGTTGTAATCGTTTTTATCGGTTGAAATGTATCACAACTTCGGAGTGTTTCTATGAAAAATTAATTTTCTCCATCTACCAATACTGCAGATCAGTTTAAATGTCGCATTTTACCTGCAGATTGCAGTAACATTTTCGTTAGTGGTTATTAATTTCGGCATTACTTCAAAAAAATGAAATGTAGACAAAAATCTTGCGATGCTATTTTTTACTGGAGACGGGATATCTACACTGATAAAACGAATTTGTATAATTCTCTAATATATCGTGGGTAATTTTGGATCCACAATATATTAGAAAAAATTACAACAAACTAGTAAAAAACAATTTACATGATAAGTTCTGTATTTTTTATGTAAATTGTAATAGAATTCTATAGATTTTCCATTTAAAAATTACTAAACGAGCATTTTGGTTTTACCTATTTGCATGTAATATTCCAAAATGTATTTTGTATAAATTAACTGTATTTTATGTATGTATGAGTAAATGAAATACTTTAATTATGGATATCAATTACTTCTGCAGATATTCACGTAAAAA